TCTTTTCAATATTTGTAATAGCTATTGGTAAAGTGTGTATCTGTTTTATAGTGGTCACACCATATTTTCTTATTCTTGTATTTTTCTTTGTTAAATGGTTTATCTTTCTTTTTGTATTGTCCTGATGAGTCCTTTGGGCGAAATAATAATTTCTTGAATCTTTCTTCTTTAGATTTAAAAGGCTTGGATGAGTTTTCTCTTTTCCTTGATTTCTTCTATTTCTTGTATTCTTTTCTTGATTTCCAAGATCTTCCTTTCTTGTTGGTGTATCCATTTCCTTTTTTATTGAATTCTTTTCTGTTTTTATCCTTTGTGAATCTTTTTTTTGAAAATTTCTTTCCTTTATTATATTTTTTTTCTTGTTTCTTGAATCTACAGTCACTCATAAGATGTCCTTTTCTTTCGCAATTATAACATTTCATGTTTTTGAGGAGTACTATTGCAAATTTATTCTTTTTGAATCTATTTTCTTTTTTCTTCTTCTCATTGTCAAAATATTCTTTTGGTTTATATATCAATTTGTTTAAATAATTTGCTTGTTTTTTTTTTGATTGATTTCTAAAATCTTCTCCTACTTTTCCTGATTTATAATAATCGTATACTCTTGATAATGCTGTGAAGAATGCAGGAGTATCTGTAATTTCATTGTTAATTAGGTTCATTTGGCTTTTGTAGTATTCTAGTTCATGTCATCCATTTGGTAACATTCCTTCTAATAATATTTGTAATCCTCCTAGAAATGATGTATTGTTTCTGCATAGTGCTAAGTCACATATGAATTTAGTTTGAAAGTTTGCTGCTTCATCTATTTCAATTGGATATTTGGGTTCAAATTTCATTTTGTTGAACTGTTTCTGCTTTTCTTTAATCATTTTTTGGTGTTATAAACACTTTATCAAACTATAATCTAAATGATACTTGTCTTGATTGTCCGTCTTCATTTTGGTATTCTAAGTTTCTTTGTCCTACTCCTCCATCATGTGCTGCAGCGAAGTGTGCGCGTTTATTTCTTCTAGAAAGTTAGTTTTATCCAATTTGTTGGTGGTCTATCTTCTATTAATTCCTATTCATGTCTTCTTCTTCGTGCTCCTCTATTGAAGTCACTACAGAAGTATAATGTTAAATCATTTTTATGTGTTTCATATAATATATATCTTTCATAGTCAAAGCATGATATTGCCAATTTGTGTATTAAGTTTTTCATGAATACTATATTGTATGCTCTTTGTGTGTCTGTATTTCCTGCTATATTTGTAGCTATGTTGTTTAATGGTATTCTGTTGTATTCATTATTGTAGTTTCCAGTAAAGAATCCTGTTGTTAATAAGTCCAGTGGTACATATACTTGTATTGCATATTCAAAATGGTTTCTGAATTGTACCCAATTTGAGCTATTGAGTATCATTCCATTCATTAAAGTTTTGAAGTTAATTTTGTTAAGGTCTGAAAATTCTATAGTGCCTGCTATTGTGCGTTGAAGTTTGGTTTAATTTCTGTATATAGACAAAATTGTATATAATCCTTGATATATAGGTTTTCTAGGTCAAGTCATTCTTTAGTACTTCTTTTTCTTTGGATAAGTATCCAATAGTTATATAGATTAATGAGTCTTTTATTTCTGGGAATTTCTTTAATTTGTCAAGATATTTCTTTTGGTTTTCTTTTTTCTTCCTTAGTATCTTTTCTAATTCTTCTGTATATTTCCTTTCAAGTTCTCGTAATGCATTAATTACTTTTATGAATATATTATATTCTCTAGTTGTCAATGTTGTTTGATATAAAGGTATACTATCAAAATATTTTTTAAATTGATCTTGTAGTTTTCTTTTTCTGGGGTCGTAATAGTATGTATTTGGGTATATTGTTAGCTAGTAGTTAAGTGCTTGGTTTGTAAGTTTAATCGTGTTGCTGTGTTGCATTTAGGTATTTTTGATTCGTGATTTTGGTTAAATATTCTAGGTCTTGTTTGTATACTTTTACAATGTTGTTGATATATTCTTTAGGTTCTTCTCTTTTTATACAATTAATAATATATGCTT